TGTCCCTACAAGCAGTGCCCTGTCCATCCCGTGCCCTCTGCATGGGCATAGTGTCATATGCCTTGTTGTTGGCAGTGCCAGGCTCCAGTACAGGGGGAGGTGAAGAGTGGGATTGAGTGTCAGCTGGGCAGGATATGAACAAGTGGTTGGGGGGGGGATGGAGAGCTGGGGGGCACCGATTGGGCAGGATGGGGATGGGGGGGCACTGGCTGGGCATGGCTGGGTAGGGGCCACCCCTGGGCAGGATGGATATGGGCAGCGGGGGGAGGGTACCATCTAGCTAGCTATCATGTGCCCATCACTGTGGTATCTGGTCTGCAGCAAGCTCTCCTATCCTGTCTGTGGGGTTGGCTCTGTGGAGGGAGTTCCTTTGAGGCGGGATGACATCCCAGGCCAGTTGCTTTCATGGACCCCGGTGCTGAGGCAGGTTAGCGCAGGCACGCCAAACCGCAGTCCTGAGTGCCCTGGCTGGAGCCTTGAACCAACTCAGCCCTGAGGGCAGCCCCCTCCAGAGCCCAGCGGGTACCTGCTCCTGGGACGGTTCTGCTGCTTACTCACACGCTCGGCTAGGACTCAGCAAGGCCTGGCTCCACGGTGTCTGGCCCTTCCCAGAGCCCCCGGCCTGAGCCCCTGGCCACAACCTCCTGGGTTTGCATTTAAAACAACCACAGATGCGCTGCTGCTCACGAAACCTTTGCAGGCGCCTGGGAAACAAGTCCTGCTTTGCCCTCCTCTTCCGTGTGTGTCTCAGTGCACGTAGCATGGCAGCCTCCTGAGCAGAGTCCGTCGCCCCCCGGATTCCTGCACCCATGAAACAAGCGAGATTTCAAGGGAGATTCCAAAACCACTGGAAATTTTCCAAAAAATGAAACCCTGGTTTAGGGCCATCAAAATATTCCAGTCTCCATTGCAACCTTTGAGAAATGGGGTTTGTTCTGGTTTTGCTAGAAAATTAAGCAGTATTTCACAATAAAAAATCAGCAGTCCCATTCGGAGCTTTTCAACCTTTTTTTTTTTCCAACCATTTTTTTTTCTAAGTGAAATTTCATCCAAACCATTATGATTTCACAGGAAATGTCAGTTTATCAAAACGGTATTTTCCCCATGGAAAAATGTTTCAGTGGAAGTTTTCCAGCAGGCTCGTCCCACAAGCCCCGGGGAGTGGTGCAGTGCCATAATCTCCCCTTGAGAGATGGGGAAACTGAGGCACAGAGCAAGCCAGAGAGAGACTCAACTACGGTGGCCCAGCCAGTTGATGAGAGAGCTGGAAATAGACCCAAAGTCTCTGCTCCGCTCACTGTTCCGTGCCAGTTCCCGGTTTCTCACGGCTGCTCTTCGGGGCAAGGACCATGCCTACATGTGCTTGTACAGTACCTGGTGCAGCAGGGTCTCGGCCCTGATTGGGCCACTCCAGAAAGGAGCAGCGTCAAACTGCAGGGGGTTGGAGTGGATCCATGATGAATGTTTGCATCCCGCTCAGCCAAGAGAATAGAGTTTGCTCACTCGGTTTCACTTCCTGGTTCCCATTCAAAAGGTCCAAGGCTGCTGCTGTGGGGAAAATCCATCTCCTAAAACACATGGGGGCAACTGGCCTGACCCCGCAGCCCATTCCTGTTGGCTGCAGAGGGGTCACGCCTGATTTATCCTGGAGTATGTACGCAGGGCACAAACCTGTTTCTAGCCCCATGGGTTTTCTAGCCCCCACGCTTTAACAAAACCAGCATTCAGGACTCCCTGGTGGGGATCTGTGCCGTGAAATGACTGAGGCTGTGTCCAGGTTGCTGGTTAACTATGCAACATGGCAAGACACATGTGCTCAGCTCTCCGCATCACAGCAGAACTCAGGTGGATATTGGGGTGGGGGGGTTCCCTTTACTGATAGGAAAGTGTTTTTACCCTGGAGTAAAACCAGGACAAACAGATCCAGAGATGAACCTCCAGCTGATGGAGAACCCTTTCATCCGTGCTGCCCGGTCCCCCCTAGCTGCGAACTCGTTTCAAGATTCTGGGGATGGCAGGAGAGAAAAGAAAATCTCCTTCCCTAGGAGACTGCTGGGGAAAAGCCCATTCAAATGCAAACGACGCTGGCAGATGCCTTGTTACCTAGCGGGACTAATGACAACGGATCTGAGAGGAAAGGGCATTAATTAGCCAGGACCTTATCCTGTTCTTAGAGCCATGCACCAGGCTGGGCGAGAAGCTGTGAAAAGGTGGTTGGGGGATCAGCTTATGACATTATATGTGAGTCACTCAGGCGCTGTGCCTTGGTTTCCCCATTTGTATGGGGGTAATGGAACTGCCCTACCCCAGGCAGGAAGGCTGCAAGGCTGAATACCCTACAGAGCATGAGAGTCTCGGATGCTGTGGCTGTGGAGGGTCAATCAGAACCAAAAACCCAGATCTGTATTTCAGGCCCCAGTCTTATGACATCTGGCTGCAGTCCAAATGCCCCATCCCATTGCCAGGCTGCCCTGGTTCCTGTTACACATGTCAGCGTGTCCATGCTGCAGACGGGGAAACCGAGGCAGACAGGGGTGGTGACTTGCCTACCATCACACAGTAGGCCAGAGCCAGGAATGGGATCCTGGTGTCCTGCCCCCCGCCCTCTGTCTCCTGTTTTAAACTCAACCTGTCCTGTGCTTTGGGGCCAGACCAGCTGAGAGCTGCCCGGTGTTCCCAGGTCTGGAATGTGGATGAGCGCTCCACTCTGGCTCTTCCTTACACGCTGGAAGCAGCTCTCTCAGGCTTCGGCGCATCAGACAGCGCCTTGTTTTTAGTGCGCCCTGGCCAGAGGCTGGTTTGCTGGCTCCATTCTCCCCGACACAGCTGCCAGCAGCCCCCAGGCACATGGGACACCATTGGACTCCTACGACGCAAGGCAGAGACGGAGCAGGCCTTCTGCATTGCCTCTGCTGCGTCCTCTGGTCGGCAGGTCCCAGCCCATTATAGCCTAGAGGCTTTGCCCCGCGGCGTGAGCGATCTCACTTTGGAAGCCAGAGCCAGCCCTGGTCCTCGCCGCTCTCCCACCACCAAGCATGCACGGCTCCAGGGGGAGGCTGGCACTACTTGGCATGACCTGGCAAAGTGGCATTTTGCCCAGGGTGATCTCAGGCAATACAGGGATATCGCGATGCCCTTGTCCTGGCGCAGGTGTGGGCGGTTTGGGGGCCTTTTGTCCAGTGCACCCAGGTGACACAGCTGTCCCGAGAGCTGGGCAAGTCCTCGTGTGGATAGGACAGCAGGATTCTTTGGGCATGGATCCATCTGGCTTGGAGCATCCTAACCTCCCCATGGCTCCGATCTCATTCAAAAACAGCTGCATCCAGCGATGGCTCTGTGGCAGTGGAGGATCCGCGGCCCCCTCCGACTCCTCAGGAAAAGCTCCAGGTCCCCGGCTGGCCAGAGGGAACCACAGGCCCTTCCAAAGCAAACACCCTACGACTTGAAATGACCATAAACAGGAGGAGAGAGGCTGGGCAGGCCACATGTCTGGGAACATGTAAATAGCTCTGGGGGTAATGACGTCTCCAAGAACAGTGCCGAGGAACAGGGCCCCCAGGCCATCCCAAACCCTGGAGCGCCTCCCAGACAATCATGTCTATCTCCTGCTGCTCAGCAACGGACTGTCTTGGTGCCTTCCCTGTACCACGGAGGGGATCAGAGCTTGATTGGTGGGAGGTTAGATTGTTATGAATTCATCGCAATGGGGTTGTCTCAGTTGATTTGTTTCAGGGTGATTTTAATTGTTGTTTTTCTAGGTGGGTGGCTGATTGGTTGTTTGAGGAACTGGGTGGGTGGGTGAGTGGTTGGTTGAGTAAGTGGGTGGGTGTTTGTTTGGGTAGATGGGTGCTTGATTGGCTGGTTGGGTGAGCGGCTGGTTGGATGGCTGTTTTTTTGAGTGGGTGAATGGTTGATTGGTTGGCTGGATAGGTGGTCAATTGTTTGGGTAGCTGGGTGAGTGTTTGGCTGGGGTTTGTTGTGTAGCAGAGTTGTGAGTGTCGTTCCTATGGTGGAAGAGCTTTTTCAAAGAGGTTGGAGATGTTTCCTAAAGCCGGTTGGGCTCTGGACTCACCCCCACCACACACACACCCCGATCCAGAGTGCTTTGCTCCATCCCTCCTATGCTTCACCCTCTCTCCCCCCGCCCCTCCCCCCCGGGCTCTGCATCGCCCTGAGGAGCCCAGCTGGCCCCAGGGCTCACAGATGGAGATTTGGCCTTTAGGTTGGCTAGAGCTCACTCTGCTCCTTTCTGGGAAGGTGAAGCCTGAGGCCACAGACTAGCATCAGAAGTGACTGGCTGCGGTGCAATAGCATCCACTGCTCTCTGGACTCCAGAAACACCCCAGGACGGGCACAAGGACAGTTGGGGATGGGGACGTGGGATGAACAGGACGTGCGTTTCATTGACTGGGGAGAGACCGCTCCTAAAAAACACTCAGCCCTTGACTCTTGGCTGGGTTCCGCAAGGTTAACAAGGGTTTTCCAAGCCCCCACCCCCCATTATGCCAAGGCAGCTGCAGGCTCCAGGAGCCACTGACAGGCAGCAGCTTCTCCACTCTCCGCCCAGCACCGCGAGCGGGTGGGGCCCCGAGACGCGGATCGCACAGGCCGTGGTGCAGCTGGAGCCCTGCCACGGGGCAGGGAGAGGGGCTGGCTGGAGCCCGCACTGAATCCAGTGGATTTTCACCAGGGACTAGCAGGGCCCTTTGCCTGGTGAATCCTCCCAACTCCCTTGTATCAGTAACACGGTCACACCCTCTGCTTCCGAAGGGGAAACTGAGGCACAGAGGGGCTGGGGGCCCAAGGTAATGGGAGTGCCAGGGATTCCACTCCTTGGAGAATCTGGCCCTCAGAGACCCCCAGGCCACACGGTATGCCACCGCCTGTGACCCCCAGGGCTCTGGCCTGCCAGGCCTCAGCTCTCTGTCCCAGCAGCTCCCACCTCAATGCAGCCTCCTAGGACTCTGCTCTCAGCTCACTCATCTCCCGTCTCATTCCAGCTTCCTCCTGACCACAGTGGCCTTGCTGTCCAGCTACTCCATCCACCTGCTGCTGAAGTCCTCTGGGATTGTGGGTAAGACCCCTGCAAGTGGGGATGGGAGGGTCATCTCCAGGCCCAGCTTTCGCATTTGCACCATGAAACGAGGCTGGTTCTGGCGAGACCCAACTGAGAGTGCCAATTCAGGACCAATTGCTTAAAACAGGGCAGTTACAGCCCAAGGTTGGGGTTTTTCCACCTCTAAGGCAAACCAAACCAGCCAGTGAAGACTTTGGTCTCACCCCACAGGCTAACCACAAGTCACACAAGCAATTCCCTTAGACACTCCAGTTTCCCAGTTTCACCACCAGTGCCACTCGTTATGGGGACAAATGATTATGAAAACCAATACCCCAATAAAAGAAAAAAGGTTCTCCTGATCCCATAGGACCAAGCCCCAGACCCAGGTCAATAAACAAATCAGATCTTATCCACAAATCACGCTGTTGCCAATCCTTTAGAATCTAAAATCTAAAGGTTTATTCATAAAAGGAAAAAGATATAGACGAGAGTTAGAATTGGTTAAAGGAATCAATTACATACAGTAATGGCAAAGTTCTTGGTTCAGGCTTGTAGCAGAGATAGAATAAACTGCAGGTTCAAATCAAGTCTCTGGAATACATCCCCAGCTGGGATGGGACATTCAGTCCTTTGTGTAGAGCTTCCATTTGTAGCAAAGTCCCTCCAGAGGTAAGAAGCAGGACTGAAGACAAGATGGAGATCAGGCATCAGCCTTTTATAGTCTTTTCCAGGTGTAAGAACACCTCTTTGTTCTTACTGTGGAAAATCACAGCAAGATGGAGTCTGCAGTCACATGGGCCAGTCCCTGCATACTTTGCTGAGTTACAAGGCATATCTGCCTTCCCTCAATGGGTCAATTGTATAGCCGATGGTCCTTAATGGGCCATCAAGCAGGCTAGGCAGAGCTAACACCAATTTGTCTGGGATGTTTCCCAGAAGCATAGCATAAGTTTGAAATACAGACAGTATAGAGCCAATATTCATAACTTCAACTACAAAATTGATACACACATATAGACAGCATAATCATAACCAGCAAACCATAACCTTGTCTTAGACATCTCATTTGATCCGCTTTATACAAGATGTGTTACCACTATAGGACTTTGGTTGCAACCATGTTCTATATGGTCCCAGTTCAAATCAATAACGTGACACACCAGGTTCCCACTCCCCCCACTTGTTACTTTGCACCCCCAGCCCTGTGCGTGGACTGAGGCTGACTGACCGCCTGCGGCCAGAGGGGAACGGCCTTTGAATGGCCAGGTAACCACACTGCCGTGTGCTCCCCGCGTGCTCAGGGACAGCGGGGGCACCGAGCTCATAGCGTTTGCCCCACTCGTGGGGTTTTACGTTAAGTCTGGAGGATGCAAACGGATCGTCCCTGAAGCACGTCGGCTCTGGCATGGCCCAGCGCCCTGTCACTGCAGCCCACCTCAATGGGGCTGTGCCTCAGGCAAGATCAGGCCCTGGGGGCTAGGGGCCAATACACCGGGGGGCAGGGGTGCTCAGCTCTCAGCCTAGGGGGCCCAGGGGCTAGAGCATCGCGTGGGTGATGCAGTCGTCTCCCAGTCCCCTAGTGCAACAGGTATGGGGCTCCATCCAGGGGAGCAGTCGTGTTGTGGGATCAGGTTGCCTGGGGTGCTATGAGGGGGAGGGGTCGTGTCTTGAGCCTGAGGGTCCCTGGATGCTGTGGGGGAAGAGGTCGCGTCGTGAGGCTGGGGGTCCCGGGGTGCTGCAGGGGGAGGGGTTGTGTCTCGGGGTCAGGCAACCTGGGGTGCTTTGGGGGGGAGGGGTTGTGTCTCGGGGCTGGCAGAGCTCCCTGCCCGCCCCCGCTAACCCAGGGCTGAGGGCTGAGGACCGGCATTCCTGGGCACTGCTCCCTGCTGGCATCACCCTGGTGCCTGGCCCCTGCGGCTCCTCTCACCCTCCGACCCCCCTCCCCTCCCCGCAGGGATCCGTGCCTATGAGCAGCTGGGCTACCGGGCCTTTGGCACACCGGGGAAGCTGGCCGCGGCCATCGCCATCACGCTGCAGAACATTGGAGGTAGGTGGGGGATGGGCAGAACCCCTGCCCCATACAGCACAGAGCCACAACTGGCAACCTGGGGCACCCACAGGAGGCTCACCCAGCCAGGGCACCCATGGAGCACCCGTGGTGGGGGCCCACCCTGCCAGGGCTACCATGGAGGCCTCACCCAGCCAGGGCACCATCTGGCATACCCAGGGCACAGCCGGGGGGTCGCCTAGGCTTCCCCCTGGTGTAGCTGTGGGGAGCTCCTGGCAGCACTGCGACTGGGAGAGCAGCGTCTGCTGGGCACCAGTAATGTGGCTGTGCCGGGGCTGCCCCGCGGCCCCTCTGTTCCCCACAGCCATGTCCAGCTACCTGTACATCGTGAAGTCTGAGGTGCCACTGGTGATCCAGACCTTCCTCAACCTGGAGGAAAAGAGCACGTGAGTCCCCGTGTGCCCATCCCCCGTCTCCCCCCGGCTGGCCACAGAGCCCTGGCCCCATGCTGGTGCCCAAAGCGGCCGGGCCCTGTGCTGGGCCACACACCAGCCATGCTCCAGCCCGTGCCTGGGGTCCGTGTCATGTCCAGGGGCCCCTCGGACAGCTCGGGAGGGGAGCAGGGACCCAGTGGGTGATCCTGAGCCCCCCAGCTCCAATGGGGTGGTAGGGGGATGGGCCCAGTGGGGGAGGGGGAAGGGGCAGCCGAATCTGAAGCATCCAACTCTCCCCACCCACCCACCCAGCCAGGGATCCCCTCCCAGGACGTCTTCCCAGTGCAGAGAGCCCAGGCACCACATGGCCCAGGGGGGACACCAAGCACCTCTGACAGCCACTGCTCCCTGGCTCCAAATAGAAGGGGATCCCTAGTGCCCATCCCTTGTTCCCGGGAGCAGGTCCGGTGCCCCAGCCAGCAGTAGAAGGGATGTCCCGAGGGCCCCTGGGAGAGCTCAGGGGGTGAGAAGGGGTGGGAGCTACCCGAGGCCAGTAGCTTGAGCCAGCTGGGGGGGCAGGGAAGGGACACTGCTTAGGGGAAGACCGCAGTGTGGGGGGTTGATATCCAGGTGCTAGTCATCACTTGCGGCCAACCCCAGCTGGGCCAGACCCAGCCCCGCTCCACAGGGGGGCCAGAGAGAGGCTTTTGCATGGGGAAGCGGCCAGCCCAGGACACACCATGACTCCTGGTACCCAAGCCCTGTGCTCCCCTGCACAGCTCTGGGTGCTCCTCAGTCCCGACCTGCAGCCCCTGCTAGCCCAGCCTGGACTCCTCTTCCCTCTCCTGCCATGGCTTTGGGTTCCCCTCACTCCCAACCCGCAGCCCCTGCTAGCCCAGCTCTTGGGTGGTGCTTGGCTGGGGACTGGCGTGCTTTAGGGGTCAGATGGAGTGAAAGCTGATCTGCCCCATGACCTGTGCTGAATCTGACCCACAGCCTCTGGGGGAGAATGTTCCATGTGACTCCAGCTGCCTCCTCTTATCCATTGGTCCGTCTCCTGCCCTCCCCGGCACCTCGCCCCTCTCACTCTACCTATCTGCTTCCCTGCCCCCAGCCCTGCCCTCCCGCCTCCCTGGGCTGATCTCCTCCCCGCCATGAGGCAGGCCCCCTTCCCTAGTTGGGGAAACTGAGACAAAGCATGACACCAATCTGCAAAGCCAGCTTACCCAGGGAATCCCAACCTGGGACTTTCACCCAGAGGCCACCTGCGCCTCCTGGTGATCGGTTTGTACCAGGCTGTGTCTGCACCCTCCTGCCACACTCGCAGCTCCCTCCTCTCTGCCACGCTAGCCTGGCGCTGTCTCTCACACTCCTTCCTCGGTGCATTTCCTTTCTCCTTACTTTCTGCCTGTACCTCTCTCCTCTAGGCCACTTCCCCCTGCCTTGTCTTTGGCTTCCCCCAGGCTCAGCTGTGTCCCACGTCCTGTGGCAGCCGGGCAGATCTGGCCTCCAGCCCGGCACAGGGATTTAGCCGTATTTAGTCACTTCTATTTTAGCTTGATGCCAGAGCTGAATAAGCCTTCGGTGTCGGATTAAACTAGCAGGAACGTCCAATCCCTGCTTCCCCTTCCCATGGGCAGAGCCAGCTCCCCGCTGGGCACACGCCTTCCCTGGGGTGTGACTCTCCGTGTGGCACCGGGCTGGGATGGCTGGCACCTCCGGGCACTGAGGGGTTAACCCAGTAGCTGGTGAGGTCGCTGCGAGTGTCACTACCACTCCAACGTCTGTGCCGGGTGCTAGAGCCTGTCTCCCAGTGCCTCTATCGGCTCATCCGGCTTCCCACAGGTCCGTAGAGGCAGCTCCATGCCTGGCACCCACGAGGCCAAAGGATGGGTTACTCCAGGCACCCTGAGCCTGTCTCTCCCCTGGACGTTACGTGGAGACCGGCTGGACCGGAGCCACCCAGGCCCAGAACTCTGGGGTGTTTGGATCTACACTTTTGCACAGGCACAGCCTAGCGAGGGCGCTGTTGGGCCTGGCAGCCACTCACAGGCCTGATCCTGGCACCAGTCAATGCTCAGACTGTTCCAAACAGCTCCACATGCGCCCAAGGGCCGTGCCCCACCCTCCTCGCAGACACTAGCACAAATCCCACCGTTCACAGTGCTGCTTGCTCAGGGAAGGAATGGACCAGGGGTTCTAGCCAGGAATCATGGGCTGGGGAACTCCCCACTACTTGATGCAAATGGTTTCAGTGCCTGGCACTGTGAGCTGGGCTCGCTGCAGCGATAAAATGCTGGATTCTGCTCTGAGCCCGGGGTGGGGTGTTAGTGGCGCGTCTCCTGGCGCACCGAGGGAGAGGAGAGATGAGATCCAGGCCCATTGAGTAAAACTGCCCACAATGGGCACCGCAAACCATTCCCATGGCAACGCTGTCCCCACAACCATTGCTAGCCCTGCGATGGGCAAGTGGACCCAGCACTGTGCTACAGTCCCACCCATCACCATAGGCCTCAAGCCTGGTTTTCAGACCATGGGAGCAGCCACAGGCGAGGACAACAGGAGGTTGCTCGTTCCCCACATGTTCCTAGGGATCTTCTCCTGGCTTCCCCAGTGGGGCCCTGACCTCAACGCCAGGGACCCTCCCGAGCTGGGCGACCCTGAGCCAGAGAATGTCAGGTCCCACAGAGGAGCCTGGAGCCCCATCGGGGGGAAGGGAGGGGATTAGCTGCCCATGGGGGTGAGCAAGAGGGCGCTGCAGGACAGGTCATCTGGTCCAGGCCAGGTGGATGCCCAGAGCTGGAACGGTCCCTGGTGCAGTCTCCGCAGAGCCGGCTCGGTGTGGCCAGGCTGAGCGCCAGGGCACGTTAAAGGTCCCAGTGTTCCCTGCACAGAGTGAGCTCTGTCTCCGGCCCAGCCGGGCTCTGGCCACATCTGAGTAGGGTGGGGAAGGCAGACGTGGCTCAAGGCAGAGCCCTCCCAGGGGGCAGCACAGGGTGCGGCCATGTGTCTGGGCAGGAGCTGGCAGCCAAGGGCATTGCTGTGCCGGTGGGCAGCCCAGCACTCCTTCCAAAGGGCAGAGAGATGGGATAGCAGGGGGCTGCAGGTCGGGATTGAGGGGCACTGGCAGAGCTGGTGGGGAGGGGAGGATAGTAGGGAGCTGTGGATCGGGACTGAGGGGCACTGGCAGAGCTGGGGTGGGAGGGGAGGATAGTAGGGAGCTGCCCACCCTGTGTGCCCAATGGAGGGGATGCTCAGGACCAGGCAGGGTTGACCCGTAACTGCTGATGCCAGGGCGTCTTGGCGAGACTCAGGACCCATGAGTTGCACTCATGGAGTGAGCAGGGGTGGTGGGCAGAGGGAGACTCTCCATGCAGCAGGGCTGCAGCGGGACCCCGAGCTGGTGCAGCAGACGGGGCAGCTGATGGGCACAGAGAAGGAGCAAGCTGGGGTGGGTGTTGTCAGGGCCGGTGGTGTTGGGCACCCAGAATCAGTCCCGGCTGGTCTTTCCCACTGAGGCAGGGGGGTTGCTGGCCCAGGCTGGGGGGTGGGTATTGACCGAGGCGCCGTTGTCAGTCCCAGGGCCCCGCTAATTCCCCAGCGCTGCAGGGCCTGACCCAGCCTCTTGTCTCGCAGGGACTGGTACCTGAACGGGAACTACCTGGTGATCCTCATCTCCCTTACCATCATCCTGCCCCTGGCCCTGATGAAGCAGCTCGGTGAGTCGCCCACTCAGGGCCAGGTCGGGGCTGGCAGCTGGGGAGCGAAGCGCGGGCGGTCCGGGGTACCCGAGACAGGGGCCTGTGGTGCATTGTGGGTGCCCGCCCCCCCTAGCTCTCCTGCATGGATGGATGAGCAGCACATCCCCCACCCACCCCGGCACAGCAGGACAGGCGAACGCTGTGTGGGGCGGGCGGGTGGGGAGTTGGGGGAAGCTGGGAACAGAGCTGGGGTGCAGCGGGGCTGGGAGCCAGGTTGCTTCAGGCTGGTGGGGGGGGGGGAGGACAGGGGGCGGGGAAGTGAATCTCAGGGGGGAAGGAAGGGAGATAACAGGGAGGGGAGGGGTTTGGAGGGCAGGGTAGGCCCAGCCTGTGACTGGAGGAGGGGAGGTACAAGGAGGCCAGTGGGATCTGCCTCTCGCCAGGGTCGGGTGGGCGCAGGTATCTGTGCCAGCCTCCTCCCTGCTGCCCCTCGCCCCACCAGGGCTCACGCCCACCCACACACACACACCCCATGCACCCCACCCCTTGGAGCCCCATCCCCATATGGGTCTGGGCCAAGGGCAAAGTCCAGCTGGGGGACTGAAGGCAGCAGCCTGGGCCATGTCTGGTGCCCATGGCTGATAAGAGGGGCAGCTGGTGCCCATGGCTGGATCTCTACCCTTCCCTCCCCAAGCAGACTGAGCCCTGAGCCTCTGTGCCCCAGACCCCCTGGTGCCAACCCCATGAGGGCCAAAGACGATGGGCCGGGACACACACAGCTCTGCTCGTGCCCACCCCCTGCTCTCCTCTCTCCCCAGGCTACCTGGGTTACACCAGCGGGTTCTCCCTCAGCTGCATGGTCTTCTTCCTCATCTCGGTGAGTCTGCCATGGCCCTGGGGGGCACCAGGACCCTCCAGAAGGGCCAGGAGCCCAGACATGCCTAGCCACCGCTGTGCTGCAGCAGCAACGGCTCCTGCCCTCCCAAGGGGCACACGCCCTGGCCTGGGCATGGCTGGAGCTTCCCCCTGCACGTCTCATGTGCCCACTGAGCTGCTCTAGATTCCAGCTCCCGGGACTCCCTGGAGGTTTGGGGGGAAGCCCCGCCATTGGCTTCCTCCCCCACAAAGGGGTCATCGCTCTGCAGAAGGACCCGGGATGTGAGGCCTGGCACTGACTGACAAGGGGCCCCGTTTACCTTGCCCCTAGTCCTGGGTGGCCTGTGCCCTGGCTGGAGCTCGGGATGCTGCCGCTGGGGAGGGATCGGGAGTGAGGGGGCCATACAAAGGGCCTGACTCCGGGTGATGGGCTCTGCGGACTGACGTGGGAGCACAGGAGATAGGCGGCTCAGTGCATGAGGAGCCTGGTGTGATCTCAGCCCTGGCATGGGGAGCTGCATGCCCGTCATGCGGGCGCTGAGTGCCACGTCTTTGTCTGGGGGCGGGGGAGAGTCTGGCTGCAGCTCCATGTGGGCAGAGACCAGCCGCTCTTCCAGCTCCCCTCACCAGGGTCCCTGGGGGAGCAGCACAGCCTGCCAGCTCAGGGGAGCTGGGTTTAAAGCTGGCATAGCTCCCAGGTGAAATGGGCCTTTTCTAGCGGCCAAATGGCCCCGTTCTGCACTAGCTGAAACACTGCGAACTCCACTTCAGAGAGGCCCTGGGCTGGGATAACAGGGGGCTGCGGGTTGGGAGTGAGGGGCACTGGCAGAGCTGCGGGGGAGCCCAGGGCTAGGGTAGCAGGGGCTGCGGGTCAGGAGCGAGGAGCACCAGCAGAGCTGGGGGGAGCCCAGGGCTGGGATAGCAGGACCTTCTGCTCCTGTTGGCCCCACGCTGCGGGTTGTTAGTGACTCCAGCAGGGGCAGGACGGTGCCAAGTGGCTCAGCACTTGCTCCCGTGGCTGCCCAGAGCTCCAGACACCAGCTGGGGACTGAAGGTCTCTGTTTTGGGCTGCAGAGAAGGGGCCGGAGCCGCTGGGCTTGTCATGGCTGCTTGTGGCCCCAGACAGGGACCTGGTCCCTACTGGCCCATCAGCTGGTCCCAAGCAGACCCCTCGGGGCCTGGCCTGGCAAGCAAATGGTTTTATTTCTAGTTGAAGAAGCCTAGATCCAGGGTGGAGGGGTGGGTGAGGGCTCCGGGGCAGCGGCTGGGGGAGAACGCTGAGCCTTCAGGGACAGCAGCACACACGGAGAGGTTCATGCACGCGCACGCACACTCATGCACGCATGCACACACAGAGAGGTTCATGCACATGCACATGGAGAGGTTCATGTACGCGCACACGCACTCATGCACATGCGCACATGGAGAGATTCATGCACGCGCACACGGAGAGGTTCATGCACATGCACATAGGCACACACACTCATGCACGTGCATGTGCACACGGAGAGGCTCGTGCACACACACACTCATGCATGCGCACGCGCACACACACAGAGGTTCATGCACATGCACACAGGCATACATACTCATGCATGCGCACACACGCACATGGAGAGGCACAGACACACTCATGCATGCGCACACACGCACACAGAGAGGCTCGCGCACATGCACACACGCTCATGCATGCGCACACACTCCTGCACACACACGCTCATGCACGCACGCACATGGAGAGGCACATGCACACATGCACGCGCACACATGCACATAGAGAGGCTCACACACACACACACACACACACACACTCATGCACGCATGCACATGCACTCTGACAGGCACACATGCTCATGCACGCTTGCACATGCACGCTGAGAGGCACACACACACTCATGCACGAACACACACGCACACAGAGAGACACATGCACACTCATGCATGCGTGCACACGCACACAGAGAGGCTCGCGCACACACACATACACACACGCTCATGCACGAACACACACGCACACTGATAGGCACACACACGCTCACGCACACACGCACACAGAGAGACACACAGCACACACATAACCTGCGAGATATGAGAATTCTCTGCCCGTCACCAAACTCTGCTGTGACATCAGGCCCTGGAAGGGCCAAGCGGTTTCGAAGACATCGTGGGGTTTCCGTTGCTCGTCTCGCAGGCAGGCGGGTTTGGCTCCAGCACCCACAATCCCAGAGTGCAACTGAGACCTGAGGCCCAGTGACACTGAGCAGCCTCAGTCTGGTCCAGGGTTCAAGGGGGAGGGGGATACGTTGCCGAGGGCTCAGAGATGAGCAGCGAGGAATGGAAAGGACTCGAAAACCTGCCTGAGAGCGAGAGACGCCGGAAGCTCCATCTGTTTAGCTTAGCGAAGAGACGGTCAGTGGGTGACTGGAGCCCAGTCTGTGGGTACCTGCGTGGGGCACAGATATTTAATTGAGCGGAAGAAGGTCTAACAGGATCCAGTGGCTGGAAGCTGAAGCTAGACACCTTCATACTGGAAATGAGGCGTATGTTTTAGCAGGGAGGGTAACTAACCACTAGGACCATTTACCCAGGGGCGGGGTGGAGTCTCCATCTGTGATAACTTTTAAACCAAGATGGGATGCTTTGCTCGCAGCTCTGCTCTGAGGGTTACTGCGGGGCAGGTCTCTGGCCTGGGCTATCCAGGAGGTCAGACTGGTCCCTCCTGGCCATAGATTTAGGAATCACTTTCTCTCTCCCCAGCTGGCGGAGGGGCGGGAGGTAACAGCATCCCTGGGGGAGCGGTGCAGTTAGACGTGGGCGGGGTTAGGGTCAGAGTGTGGTAGGCCAGAGCAAAGCCCACAGACAGAGAGCTGGGGGGGGGGGTCATGGTGTCTCTACAGTGTCCCTTGAAATAATTTGCCAGGCCTGAAAGTTACAAGCGCCCTGGGAGCCCAGTCTGTGCCCAGGGGCTGCGAGGGGGCCTCAGGCGCTGCGGTGTGGGATGAATCACACCCTTCAGGGGACCTCGGACCAGCGTGGCTGGGGCCCAGGGTGATCTCCCTGCTCTGGCAGCCCATGGGGAGCAGGGGTTTCCGGAAGAGCAGAGAAGGACCCTGAGGGTTGGACTGGGAAGGCCTGGCTGGGTTGGTCAGTGATGCAGGGGGATGAGCCACTCTCCCCTGCCCCATGATCTCCCCCTCATGCTTGGGCAGCACCCGTCTCCTTCGCTGCCTTTCCTCCCAGGCTCAGAGCTGGGGCTGAGCTGCTGGGGGGCCGTGCGCAACACTGGCAGGGCCAGGCGCTGACTGGGTTTTCTGCCCCCTTCCTGCCCAGGTCATCTACAAGAAGTTCCAGATCCCCTGCCCCCTCCCTGAGCAGGACAGCAACGGCACAAGCAACCTCAGCGACGCCCAGGGCAGCACCAGCGACTACCAGAACGGCTACCCGGTCCTCCAGCCAGCTGCTGCTGCGGCTGCCTGCTCCGCCAGCCTCTTCACACTCAACTCCCAGGTACCGCACGTGCCAGGCCACACGGCAGACCCACCAGGATCCCGGAGGAGCCCTGCTCTGGGTGCGGGTGTGTTCTGGGAATGCTCTGGCCATGCCCCAGCCCTGCCACTGACCCTGCTGCCATCTGGCCAAGCCCAAGGGTCACTAACCATGCCTCAGGCCCCCAAATGGTAGGACTGGCTCCCAAGCCGTGAGAATTCACACAGTCCCCTGGGTTTTCCCTTCGCCTCAGGGTGCCTGCGCCATCGGGTTGTGCTTGGGCCACGTTTCCTCTGGACCCAGAGATGCTCTTTATTTAAAATGCGCACTGAGCTTCTCCCCAGCTCACGTGCCTCCAGGAGCTGGGGCTTGGTGGGAGCCGGCAGTTCTGCGCTGGAGGTTGTGAGCCCAGCACCCTCCCCTGAGCCCACCTGCCTGCTCCACTCCCATCCTCCCCATTCATTCCCACCGCTGGGTCATGCCCAGCCGCAGAGACCCAGACCAGGGGCGCTGGACAGCTGGGGTGCTCTGGGTAGCTCTCTGTAGCCAGTGCCCTGCACCGTTAGCCATCAGCCCTGCTCCATTGACCCTTGGTGTCTTCTGCAGACAGCCTACACCATCCCCATCATGGCGTTTGCCTTCGTGTGCCACCCCGAGGTGCTGCCCATCTACACGGAGCTGAAGGAGTGAGTCCTGGGGGGCGGGATGTGGTGGGCCAAAGGCGGGGAAGGAGGTGGCCCCAGGACCCTACCCCATTGCTCCCTAGAGGGGCCTGAGCCAGTGTCGCTTAGTTCCTGAACCCAGGGTAGCTCCATCGTAGGCAATGGGGTGACTCCAGGGGCCAGTGCCAGCGTGGCCAGGATCCACGCCCAGGTGGGCCCCTGCATCTTGTGGCTGGACCATGTGACCCAGCCAGGAGCCCCATTGCTGCAAGTGGCCTCTGCTGCCTTGGGACTCCCAGATCTGGGTTCTGCTCCAGCAGGTTCTGGTGCCACCCCTGCCTCACTGCCCAGAGTGCCCTGCCCTCTGCCTTCTGGCACCTGGAGCCCAGGCACGGGGCCGCTGGGGGCACCCCCGGCCATTCTGGGGACCCTCAATCCATGTCAGCTCTGCAGCTCACGCCCTCACCTTGCCGGCCTCCTGGCTGACAGACCCACGTGGGGCAGGGACCACCCACCGTTTGCCTGCCCCTTTCTACAGCAGGGCCAGTGGTAAGAGCAGCTCCTGCCTCCCGTCCTGTCTCTGTGTCAGACCGGCGCCCTCTCCTGGCAACAGAGAGCCCTGCACACAGCGAGGGTGGCTACTTGGGCAGCTGAGATGCTCACAGGACACAGCCTGTGAGGAGCCCTCCGATGCTTGGTGCTCCAGAGGCAGGGAGGGCGATGGGGCACTGCTCCCCAGCCAAGCCAAGCTGGGGACCCATCCATTCTGTGCTGCCAGGCATCAGCTGGCACCACGGGGTTTACCCCAGGAACGTGCCTCTCCCTCGCCAGTGCAGGGCAAGAGGGACCCAGTTTAGTAGCCTGGCAAGGCTTTGGTATCGAGAGCCTGGCTCCGCAGCTGGAGGGCCATGGGTGCCATGCCCAGGACCAACAGGGAGGGGCCCAGGCTGGGAAGGTTGAGAACAGTGGCCTACAGGCCCCCCGGAGCAAGATAAGCCCAGCTCATGTGGGTGGTGGCTGCCGGTGGCCGGCAAATCTAACCCTGCTCTGGGCATCCTGCAGCCCCTCCAAGAAGAAGATGCAGGGCATCTCGAACATCTCCATTGCTGTCATGTATGTCATGTACTTCCTGGCCGCCCTCTTCGGCTACCTCACATTCTACGGTGAGTGCCCCCGAGGCGAGATGATCCTCACTCCCCCCCGCCCCCCGAAGGCCAGGAGCAGGCCCCTGTCCATCGCTAGCCCCAGAGGGACCCAGCCGGTGCCTGCCAGAGCTGGGTTACTGGCTCCATTGGCTGCACGGCTCAGAGGGCAGGAGCCATGGGGCTCACGGCTATGGGGCTGCCCTCTCCTGCCCAGGCACCACCAGACCCAGCCCATGGCAGGGCCCCTCCAGTGTGATCCACCCAGCAAGGTCTTGTTGCTGGGCTCCCAGTCTCTAGGGCTGACCGGTTCTGTTGTCACGCACCAACCCAGTGCCACACCAGGCTGTTGCAGAGCCATATTGGCCGGTTTCCCCGCGGGACAGGTCTCCCCTTGGGCCAGCGGGATGGGCAGGGCTCGCCCTGGGTGCGACTGACATGGGTTGCACCCCACAGGCCAGGTGGAGTCGGAGCTGCTGCACACCTACAGCTACGTGGACCCCTTCGACGTGCTGATCCTGTGCGTGCGCGTGGCAGTGCTGATCGCCGTGACGCTGACTGTGCCCATCGTCCTCTTCCCAGTAGGTGACGCCACCCGCCAGTCACAGGGGTGGGTGGGGGGACAAGGCCTTTTCCCTGACATCAGGGGTTGTAGCTCCCTGTGCAGTGCCCCACCCTGGGAGACACTGACGCTGTGGTCTCGGGCCCCTGCATGGCCTCAGTTGACACAGGCTGGCCGCTTGTGGGCAGTTCCAGCAGAGGCTGGATGGGCCTTGGTGACTGAGGGCAGCCCAGTGTGGAGCCCTGGCACTGCGTGATTCCTCGTCGGGTGCCTGGCCCTACATGGGCTGCGGTGAGCACGGGAGGGACACGACAGCAGCAGGAAATGTACATTTATACAAACTGCAGGAAGGGAGTTGGGAGGCCAGCCAGGGACTGGGGCAAGCAGGCCCCAGGGACCACAGTGATGGGCACCATACTACAGGTTGGCCCTGGCAGGTGTGGGGTGGGCAAGGCCCAGAGGCCATGGCGATGGGCACCATACTACAGAGAGGCCATGAGGGCATGATGGACCCAGAGCAGGCTGGGCTCCGGAAAGGGAACTGGCAGTGGGCCCCATGCTGGGCACGCAATCTGACCCTCTCCCCTCTAGGTGCGCCGCGCCATCCAGCAGATGCTCTTTCAAGGCAAGGACTTCAGCTGGGTCCGTCACACAGCGATCGCTGTGGTCCTGCTGATCACCATCAACCTGCTGGTCATCTTCGCCCCCTCCATCCTCGGCATCTTCGGCCTGATTGGTGAGTCCTGGCACGTGCTGCCTGAGCCGCCCCCACGGCGCTGCAGGGAGCCCAGCGCTCCCCGCACCAGCACCCTGTAGGCTGGGAAATAGTGTCTGGTCTGTCGTGCCAGATTCCCAGGCCCCGGGGCGTGAAATCCTCTGCTTTTCCCCAGCGCAGGGCTAGCTTCCCACGCACGCTGCCCCCTGCTGGCCTGCCTCAGCCCTGGATTGGAGGGACCTGTACAAACACAGCTCGGCCACACAAGGGAAGGAGTGCCGGTGGGGAAACTTGGGCAAAGGTACTGAGCGTGCTTTGCCCAAGGCCACAGAGTGAGTCAGTAGCAGCACTGAGATTGGACCCCAGTGGTGAGGGAGTTCAGTCTCCACAGCTTGGGAATCCCTGCCCTTGCTGTTACAGGGGAGGTAGCATTACCTACTGGGTAGGGCCTGGCCTAGCAATTTGGGCAACCTCAGCTGGGTCACGTTCCCGCTCTGTGCTTCAGGGACCCCTCCTAGCCTTGGGCTGTCGGCTCCATCCCCGCCCAGCCCACGATCTCTGCCTCATAGCGCTATCAGTATGGCAGGCCCATTGGTCCCTGCTTCAGCTGAGCCCCCCACAACTCCTCTCAGGAGTGGCCCAGACAGGCAAAAGGCCCCGCCTCCCTTTGCTGCTCCCCTCTGATCATTGTAACCACAGGGTTTAAATGCGGCACCGGCTGCTCTCCCTTGTCCCTGGACTCTGGAGTCCTGGCCTGGCCACTGTGTTAGCTCAAAGCCCAGGGCTCCAGGCTGCAGCCTGAGGGCTTCTCTTTGTTTGCAGTTTGGGTGTTTTTTTAATTCCTGTTCTGCCTTTGCTCTTGTCATGCCAGATCTATGCCTAGTATCAGGGGGTAGCCCTGTTAGTCTGTACCCACAAAACCAACAAGGCGTCCGATGGCACCTTGAAGACTAACAGATTTATTTGTGAAAAAGCTTTCGTGGGTAAAAAACCCACTTTTCAGACTCCGTACATCTGAAGAAGTGGGTTTTTTACCCACAGAAGCCTATGCCCAAATAAATCTGTTAGTCTTAAAGGTGCCACCGGACTCCTCGTTAAATCTGTTCCTTAGATCCCTGGCTGGCCCCACTCCGCGAGGGGCCCCGGGGCAAGGCTGGCACGGCTAGCCCCACTGTTTCCAAGGAAGCTAATTGCGGGGGGAAGTTTGGCTCTAGCCAGGTGTGGGGCTTGGCTCAGGGGGTCAGGTGGCTGTGGGGGACTAGTGTGACAGGTTTATGTTACCAATTTGCTCGAGACGTTAGGTGATTAGGCTGAGGCCTCAGGATTTTTAGGGGAGGAGATGGAGGAGCACACCATGTGACTAAATTTTAAAGCTTTATTAATAAAATAATAAAATAACAGTGGGGAGTGCTGGGTTTTTTTATGTTAGTTAGAGGAAGAAAGAAAGTGTTAGTGCCCCAAGCCTTAACCCATTTTTATACTTACATTTGTACTACCCGAGGCTGGCCAAGCCTGGGTGTAATGTAAGAAGAAGAGGAGGAAAGGTGGATGGGAGTTTTGTTTTGTGCACAGGTTGTTTGGGGTTTGCTGTTGATTTTTAATTTGCTTTGGCTTTTAGGAGGGTTTTTAAGTTTTGGGTTTTTTTAGCTGCATGTGTTTTGGCTGCATAGAGTTTGTTTGAGCACTGTGACCTTGGACTGCAGCCCACATCTTATTTTTGGACTCAGCTGAGAGCTGAGGCATTGAGTTAACCCATTTTGTATTGGTTTTTTTAGCCTTTTGCAACCTGCAAAAAAAAATTATTTTACACTTATACCTTTAACCTTTTAACCCTTTCCAAAATGTCTTGCAATGCTTGCAACAGCATTAGCAACATACAATGCTAATTTGCTTCCCCCAAAAAAATCCTAAAAAAAAAGTCACTAAATTATAACATTGGGAGCTGCTGGCTGCTCCCCCGCACCCCTGTACCCATTCTCTCCTGATGTTCTCCAGGTGCCACATCAGCCCCCTGCCTCATCTTCATCTTCCCAGCCATCTTCTACATCCGCATCGTGCCCAAAGACAAGGAGCCCCCGAAGTCCACCCCCAAGATCCTGGTACGTCCTCTCCAGCCAAGCTGACTGTCAGGGGGAATCATGTCGCTAATGGGCGCTGAAGAGGGTGGCCCTGGGCCAGCGTTGACTCTGCTTTTGAGGCCCCCTCCAGAGGCCTCCTACCTGACTCTCAGGGGTGCTGGGCGCTGATCCCCCCCCACTGAGAGGCCATAGGACCAGCAGGGCAATTGGCACAGCTGAGGTCATGCCTCCCTGCCAGTGTGTTTCAAGTCAGTCACCCGACATTAATGGCCAACAATATTATGAAAATATGGGCCTTAACTTCCAGAGTCCTCCCCTCTGTGTGTATGGGGGGCACAATTTTAGGGGGAACTTTTAGGGGTGGCTCTCACTTTAGAAGTAAGGAGGTCGCATTTATATCATGGGAAGCTCCTCAGATGTCACGTGGATACAGCCCAGGAGTCCTGAATCTGAGACCATCACCACTAACCACTAGACCCCACTCCCCTCTCAGAGCCAGTTCCCTTTAAGCTGCATGGCCGCACAGCAGGCTATTAAGGGCCATGCAGGCGCGCAGCGGGGAGAGGCGTCTCTCCTCTGGCCCTGGGCTGCTGAGGCGAGAGAGGGCTGGGGGGAGTCAAGTCCTCTCTCCCCAGGGCAGCCTGCACCCCAAACCAGTCATCCCTGGCCTCAGCCCAGAACCTGCACCACCAGCCAGAGCCCTCACCCCCGCCCCCCGTGCCCCAACCCTCTGCCCCAGCCTGGCGCCCCCTCCTGCACCCCAAACCACTCATCCCCAGCCCCACCCTAGAGCCTGCACCCCCAGACGGAGCCCTCACCCCCACCCCAACCCTCTGCCCTAGCCCTGAGCCCCCTCATGCACCCCAACCCCCTCACCCCGGCCCTACCCCAGAGCCCTCAACCCCAGCCAGAGCCCTCAACCCCCCGCAGCCTAAGCCCTGAGCACCCTCCCACACAACAAACCCCTCATCCCCAGCCCCACCCCACAGCCTGCACCCCCAGCCAGAGCCCTCACCTCCTGCAACCCAACCCCTTGCCCCAGCCCTGAGCCCCCTCCCACAGGTGGGCTGGGTCGAGGGCAGAGCTGTGTGTCTGAGGGTCACTGGTGGGCTGGGTTGAGGTCAGAGCTGTGTGTTTGAAGGCCAGAGGTGGGCATAGTCTGGGGCAGAGGTGTGTGTCTGACGGGCATGGGTGGGTGGGGTTGGGGGTGGAACTATGTGTCTGAGGGGCAGAGGTGGGCTGGGTCGAGGTCGGAGCTGTGTCTCTGAGGGCCACAGATGTGGAGGGTTGGGGGCGGAGCTGTGTGTCTGGGGAGCACGGGTGGATGAGGTTGAGGGTTGAGCTGTGTGTCTGAGGGGCGAAGGTGGGGGGGATCAGATGTTGGAGTTGTGCCCAGTGGGCTGAGCCCGCCCCGGGGCTCATGTCTCCTGCCCCCTGTCTCCTCCCTTGCAGGCTGCCGGCTTCGCGGGCCTTGGCGTGCTCTTCATGGTCATGAGTCTCAGCTTCATCATCAGCGACTGGGCGATGGGCGGCGCCAAGAGTGGGGGCAGCCACTAGAGGGCAGCAGGAAGCGCCCTCCCGCCCCCACCCCACACCCTGGGAGATGGGGCTGTCTGAGCCATGCTCCCCTGCCTCTGTCCTGCTGCTAGTACTGTCCAGCAACCCGGTCCTCATTGCTGCCGAGCCAGGGACATGCCTGGGGCCTGCAGCACTACTGGGATTTCCCCAGTGCAGGCGAGCAAGCCCTTAGCAGCCAATGAATGTAGCATGGGGGGGGGGCGAGCAATCCCCCAGCTGGGGGGTGGCCATGGCTGTGGTGGGCCAGTCCGGCAGGGGAGCTTCGAGTGCCAGAAGGAGGAGAAGCAGGTCTAATGACTGTAGCATGGGAGTGGGCTCTATTCCCTGCTCTGCCCTTGTCCAGCTAGGTGAGCTTGCCTCAGTTTTCCCATCTGTAAAATGGGGCTGCTACTTCCCTACCTCACTGGGGGGCTGGCTGTGAGACGGAGCAGCTCCATGCACATGTGGAGCAGCCAGAAGCCCACAGACAGCGGCTCCAGCGAGGCGGGCAGAGAATTGTTCCAAGGGGGCAACAAACAGGAAGCGAGTGCTGCCAAGTGGGAAGTGACGCAGACCAAGGGCACGTCCTGTCAGGGAGCAGTTCAGCGACGAAAAAGAAACGAAATGGGGTGGGGTGTAGTGCTGTCCCGCCCTGTGCCTCTGTTTCTTTTTCCCTGCTGGAGCACAGGGCCGGATGCCCTTCAGAACCCCCTTTTCTTGAGGGTCCCATGCTCTGTGCAGTGGCTGCAGAGTTGTGCTAAGCCTGCAGCCATGATCTCACACCTGCCGAGGAGGGTGGCATTTGGGGTGAACTGAGGGGCAGGGACACCCTGCACTAGGGGGAGCAGGGCCTCGGTGTGTCTCACCTTGGCCCATGTGGGTGGAGGATTCAATACCAGCCCTAATATGCCCCCCCAGCTGCTATTGCAATGGGGGCCTTGCCCACTGCCTGGAGCAGCTCCCTGCCCCACAGCACTGAGAGACACGGCCCAACCGTCCCCTCCCTTCTCAGGAGGGCCCTCCCTGCTGGCTGGCAGACGGTGCCCCCCCTGAGAGTTGGCAGTGTATGCTGGAAATTGTGGCCCTGCCATTGAGCCTGTATAGAAACTAAACAATCCCTAAAACTTGATTTGCTGCTAATCGAAATAGTTTAGGAGAATCTACATTAATTTATATTGTATATGTGTACACACACACATGTTGTTATTGTGTTACTGACCTTGCGGTTAGTGGTTTCCATGGGATGCCCATCCTGTGCAGACCGTGTCAGAGCTGGGAGGGTCCAGTGAAATCATGTTTGGTTGGCTGCTGTCTTTAATTTGGGATGCTCCCTCTTTACTGCGTGTGGTGGGCATGAGGAGCATCAGTCCATCATAGGTCTCTCCTCTTGTCCTCCCACCCGGCCAGTTGGCTGGGGTGAAGCCAAACCTGGGGGGGCCGGCAGGTGCATCAGTTTAATATCTTCTGCACCTCTTTGGACAGGTCTTCTCCACCTCTCTGACCTACAGTCCCATCAGACTTCAGCCCAAACCAAAGATGGCTCCCAGCCCTCTCCACATGCTATGGTCATGGGCCCCTCTCCCTCATGGTCTGGCTGGCTGAGGGGCAGGACATGGGCAGAAGAAGCCACTGTGGATGTGGCCTCCTCCCAGACCCATGGCAGGAGCTGTTCTTGGGGCCTCGGAGTGGGGAGACCTGCAGAGCTCCCTAGCTAGCTGTAGGGGGAGCGGTCCCCAGGCAGTGAGGGGGTCTCCTGCCCTAACCGCGAGTGAGGGTTTGACTGCGATAGCCCTAGTGCCATGGGAACCACTGATGGCTTTATTTCCCTAAAGGGAGAGCCTGTGTCACTCTGAGGTTTTCCTGTGTGAACCTGAGTAGTCCCGGCAACAGGGCCCTGGTTGTACTGACTGTTGCTGGGCTGGGCTGGAAAGTGAGCTGGTAGAGGCGCCTAGATTGTAGTTAGAGGAAAAACCCCTGCAGAGTTACAGCTCGCCACCTGGCTAGTGAAGGGCTGGGCCTGTGTTCACACTGGGTCTTTCCCTCAATCCTGGCCTAAGGGGGCAGGCTGCCTGGGCATGTGAGGGTCACTCATGGAGGGGTGAAGGCAGCAGCCCCAGCAGCGTTGTATCTGTGTTGGCTGGCAGGGAACCCCAGTGAGGCTCCAGAATGGGCACCCCACTGACGGGAGTTTCTGGAGGCTGAAGTTCAGCTAGGAGAACTGCAGCAGGTTTTTCTGGACTTCTCCAGGTGCCTGGGCTTCTCTGGCAATGCACTTCGGACCTCTCCAGGGGTGGGGTGCTTCCCCAAGGGCCTCTCCTGCAGTCCTGCCCCACCAAGTTGGCTCCCCCAGCCCTGAAGCCAGAGCTGAGGGGACAGCAGGGTGAACTAGCTGCCTTCTTGGGTATACAGCCACATGTAGGCTTGTGGGGCTGATGCCGTGGGGCACACGGGGTTTCCTACATAAGACCTCCCAGGACCCGGCTGCAGTGTCACTCCCTGGCTCGGCAGCCAGGGCACCCATGGGTACTGGGGGCTGTTTGTGGCTGTTGTGACTCAGGGACGTCCCAAACCAAGCCACATCAACTCCCTAGGGCTCGACAAGGGCTCTCTCCCAGGTCTGGCCAAGCAGAGGAGGGTCGCTGGGCTGGAGCGAGACACGTTCATGTCCTTGGAGGGGGGCGGGGGGGACAGCCCTGCAGGCTGGGTTCAGACGAGGGCGATCAGTGGGGAGGAGGGGTCAGGGTGGGTGTGTATGTAACCCACACGCCTCCTGGGTGTTGTGCTCTGTCCCCTCTAGTGGTACCGAGATCACTTAGAGATGAGTGAATCTGCTACAGCCATAGCTCGGAGGCATGTGGCTTTTAGCTCGCACAGTAGAGGCTCATATGCTAAGCTCCAGAGGTCCCAGATTCAATCCCACCCACCGATGCCCGGGGTTTTTCAGTGTTACATGTACACGAGGTGGGGCAGAGCCGATGGGGGAGCTGGCAGTGTGCTGGAGGGTTCCATTCTGGAGGTCAGGGAACACCCTGGGCAGCAGAGGAATGTGGGGCTTGCTCTTCCTAACTGAGAGAACCGGAGGCTCAGCCCACTGCTAGGTAGGACGCAGACACCAAGGTGACGGGCACCAAATACCTATGCAGTGTAATGAGTCATGGTCTATGGGATGCTGCTGCCCCCTGGTGCCCAGGGTCGTCATTGCCTTCAGGCAGGCTCTAGCTCCCAGCATGACTGGGTGGTACCCGTGTGTCACATGCCCCTCGGTGAGCGGAGGGGGGTTCTTGGGGTGACCCTGTGCCCTGGGAGATACCTGCCCTGCAAGCTAAGGAGCGATTGGAGAGCAGCCCAGGAGCCGGGAGCGCCCCACACGAGCTGGGAGATATGGGGCGAACAGGCCAATGTTGTTGTGCAATGGGGCGATGCTGTGGGGTGCACTAAAGTATTGGGATGACAGAGGACATGGGGGGTGATGGTTGAGGGCATCAGAAGGAACAGCGCCCCTCCCTCATGTGCCCCAGATATTTGGGGGGGGGAGGGAGGGCAGGCATGTGTAGGGCACCTGGCCCACGGCTGCCAGCAGGACGGCCCTTCTGCCCCATGAGTGCAGCCCCTTCCCTCCCACTAATGCAGGGCCAGCGGCAGACTTGTAGAGGGCGCTCTGTCCATGCACTGCGGCCCCTACCCAGCGCCCACCGGGCACAATGGAAAGATGCTCACAGATGACATGGGTGCAGGATCAGGCCTGAAGCCGGTGCATTATGTGCCATCACGCCCCCTCCCCAAGGGGCAAGCAGAGTGTGTCCCCCCACGATCCACCCCTGGGGAAGCAGGCCAGGGTGCAGATCCACCCCCTGTGCTAAACCCACCCTGCAGCCCTGTGCTAACACTGTCTGACTTCCTGCCAGCCCGCAGCGCCCCCCAGCCGCCCGCCTGCCCACATCACTCCTCATGCCTCTGGGCGCCACATACCCAGGAACCTCTGGGTCACACTGAAAAACGAGCGGTTGCCTCCCAGTCTCCGTTTGCTGCGTGACGGGCACCGTATGAATGGAGCGGGGGCGGGTGGGCCAGGGTATTTTCAGCAGCACTGTGATTGCAAGCGAAATTAAGCAACCCACCGTTTCTTGGGGTTGACTAAGTGCAAATGAAGTAACTCAGAGATGTATTTTTGTATTGGGGGTGGAGGAAGCTGGACAACTTTGTGTCAATACTGTATATAAGAGTAGGTGTTTCTAAGGCGTGCTGTGTTGCTCTCAGTAGCTCTGTATAGTGTATATATGCTACGTAGTCAATGGAGAGGGATCACTGTACCAGATGACCTGCCTACGCCGCAGAGAACTGACCATGAGATCTGTCCATTCAATAGGCTGGTGGCCACTGCAACAGTGGCTACTAGGGGACGTCTCCAGATGTCGTTGTGCTGGTGTTAAACCATCTCCCCCATGGGCTGTGGATTAGGGCCCTCCTGAAGAGTGGGGAGGGCTAGACAGTCGCAAAGCTAAAGGATGTTTTTAGTCAGCTTTATAAGGGCCTGATCCTGCGAGGCGCTGAGCGCCAGCCCGGCAGGGGCAGGCGCTGCAATCAGTGGGTGCTACTTGCCTCCCAGGAAGGGCTCAGCACCCGCACCACTCCATGAGTGTGCCACAGTCTTGGTTACCTGGGGGCTCTGTGGTATTGGAGAGCTCAAGTTGCTGTGCCCGGCTGGCACGGCAAGGGAGGTGTGGGGCGGCTAATAACCACAACCGAGGCTCTCTGCTTCTCCCAGCTCGGCCATGCTCAGTGGGTCATTGCACCCCTGCCTTCCATTAAGAGGTGGCAGGGCACGGGTCAGGTTAGCTGGGTGGCGGCAGGTTGGTATGGCCATCCCTCTCCATTGCTCTGTCTATGAGGCAGCTCAGCAGGCTGCAGCGTAAGGGGTCAAGCTGGTTTCAGTCTCACTTTGCATTCGGGACCCTCCTGCGGGGGTCAGGCTGAGCCTCCCATGCCAGCGCTGGCCTCCCATGCCCTGTCCCTTCACTGGCGCATTCCCAGCCTGTGAAGGGGGAGTGAGGCGCTGGCCAAGGAGCCGCGTAGCAGTACCATGTGATAGGGCTTGAGGTTGAGGTTGGTTTTAAATTATATGGTTAAATTAGATTTTTATTTGGAAAGGAAACAAACAACCCTCCCCCCTTTTTAAATAACAATAAAGGAAAAGCAAAACCTCCCTGGGTTCCGTGTGTTCTTGACACTAGGAGCTAATGGGATGGACCCAGCGTGGAGCGAGCTGAGGTCCTGCAGAACTACATGTGTGCGTGACTGCACCGCGCATGCCAGACCCATGCTAAAGATTCACGCCCATTGTGGCTCAGGCACAGAACGGGACATACAGTACACATGGATCAGTGGGGAGCCACACCCTGGAAGGAAGGAAGTCACTCGCTTGTGGATTACTGTATGACATGGTGACTGCCTCCATAGAAACCAATGAGCTCAGCCACTTCCCATGCGGCCAAAGGCAGATCTAAGGAGTTTATGTTTATCCCCTTCAGAGGTTGAGATGAACATAAGGTAGGCCTTTCATCTGAGCAGACTGAAAATGGACACAAGGAAATCATTATTTGTGCAGCATGCAAAATTAACTGGCAGAACTCACTGCTACAAGGTATCACTATGGCCACCAGCAACGTAGTTGGTTTTTTTTTAAGGCTGAGGCATTTATATAGAGAATGAAAACACCCAGAGTTATCATGGAGAGACTCAAACATTTAGAAAGGTTTTAAAGCTGCATGTTTCAGGGCATAAACCAACTAGGACCTAATGCAGGTCAGGAAGGAACTGCCCCATGGACAGGTTTCGTCATTGTCAACTAGGGGCTTTCTTTCACTTTCCTCTGAAACGGCTGCTGCTGGATTGCCCTGATCCGCCAGTTCCTGTGTCCCATGCATGTATGTGAGCAGGTTGGTAGCTCAGCAGGCACATGCTCTCTGTAGTACAGTGGGTACACGGCAGCAGAAGCCCAGTCTGTGATCGCTGCAGAGTGACTGCACAGTGCAGTGAGTAAGTACAATGAAGACATTGGTCCCTAGGTCACAGGGGAGACACATTAGTGCCTGCAAGTGTCTGTCTAAGGGCCCCGATGCACAGGGAGGTGGGTTAGGCCTCCTCTGGTTGGGGATCCCAGGGCAAGCACTGTCTGGGCCCAGCCCCATCAGCGC